GTTGTTGACTTCGACGTAAAAGTCTTCTTCGTACCTAGGACATCTATGGTCATGACATCATATGGAAAAAGTAATGTAGTAGTAATGCAGCATGCTCCCCCTTCCCAGAAGCCAAACAAATCTAACACATTCACAGCCATGAATAGATGAACCATTTGGCCAAGTTATTAGGCCAATGGATGAATGAGAGGACATCAGGATCAAAAATCCTTCCTTTCTGCACACCTGGTATAGAATCATAGAGTTGGAATAGACCTTACAGGCCATCCAGTCCAACCCCCTGCCAAGAAGCAGGAATAATGATCTCAATCCTATTCATAGTTCCAACCAGATTAAAAACCACTAGACAAATTATTGAATGGTCAGCAAACATGTCAAGCCCATTGATTAATTGGATAGTTCTTTTACTCAGTAGGATAGTTCCTTTACTCAATAGGATTCAAGACAATGCTGGGTGTCTGCTTGTGTCAAATGTAGTTAGTTAGTTAGGCGATCCCTCGTTGTCCGAGTATGATGACTTTCCAAGTATAGTGTCTTGGCGGTGGATATGTAGTGACTGTAGATCCCTAATCTTGACCCACATGTTCTTCCACAGTGAGGACATCAGTTTCCAGGTGGAAGGCGGTCCTAGTCAGGGTTGGCTTGATGTGCCTTCCTCTTGACACATTTCTCCCTTTCGCCCTCCATTTGTGCTTCTTTGAATTCCACAGCACTGTTGGTCACAGATGACCTCCAAGGGCCAGGACTTCCCCGTTCTTGGTGTCTATGCCACAGTTTTAAAGGTTAGCTTTAAGCCCATCTTTAAATCTCTTTTCCTGTCCACCAACATTCCGTTTTCCATTCTTGAGTAACTGCTTTGGGAGACAATGATTGGGCATTTGGACAACATGGCCAGTCCAGCGGAGTTGATGCCGTAGAAGCATTGCTTCAATGCTGGTGGTCTTTGCTTCTTCCAGCATGCTGACATTTGTTCGCTTGTCCTCCCAAGAGATTTGCAAGATTTGTTGGAGGCAACCCTGATGGAATTGTTCCAGGAGTTGAGTGTGACATCTGTAGACACTCCACATTTTACATGCATATAACAGGTTTGGAAGAACAATAGCTTTATGAACAAGCACCTTAGTATCCCTACAGATGTCCCAAACCTCAAACACTCTCTACTTCATTTAGAAGAATGTTGCACTCACAGAGCTTAGGTGGTGTTGCATTTCAGTGTCAATGTTGACTTTTGTGGACAGGTGGCTGCCAAAGTAGCAGAAATAGTCAACATTTTCAAACGTAACACTATTAAGCTGTATTTCTGGCGTTGGAGAGAGATTGGCTGGTGACTGCTGGAAGAGCACTTTGGTTCTTTCATTGAATAGTCCCTTTACTCAGTAGTATTCAAGACAATGCTGGGTGTCTGCTTTTGTAGAATGTAGGTCTAAAACTCATAGTATTTCCCACCTGGAAGGCAAGAAGTGAACATAATGCACCTTGTACTGTATACATATTGATATCAGTACATCAGCAGTAGTCATTATTTCTGGTCTTGAAAGTTGGGTGCAATATATGCTGAACAGCTGGGAGTTATATATGTGTGCGTGTATGACACTGGGAAACGTTGGACAAGTCACACTCTCAGCCTCATGAAAAGACAAAGGAAAACCCCTTCTGAATAAATCTTGCCAAGAAAACTCCACAATAGGTTCATTTTAAGGTTGCCATAAATGCCACTGTTTGAAGTGGCATTTAAAATTTCCCCCCAAATGTATTAACAGTGATAGAAAGGGCCAGAGATGTTCACCTATGATTTCTAATAATTTTTCCTAAATGGTCACTATGCCGCAAATGATATCTGTGTTGTGTATGGAAGGGCTAACTTTGAATTTTTATACAAAAGTAGAACAAATATTGTCTTTTCTGTTTTATCTTTTGTGGGATTTGTGAGTCTGTTAAGTAATATTCTAGACTTCAAGGCAGTTTCATTGTTTAATAGCAATCCCAATTCAACATGGTAGCTAAAAGTGTTCCCATTGGTGTTTCAGATGCCGGTATCTTTTGAAGGAGCAATGACAGAAATTACAAGATACAATCCCTTGGAAGGTGTTAGTAATATGTTTACTGGGTACCATGTTTTCCCCCTTTCAAATATAGTTTAGGTTGTCTTCATTTGCATATAATTTGCATCTAATATACAGTACTCTAAGGAACGTAATCACAAAATAAAGGCTCCAGAACGTATCCATTTATTTCTGGTTTAGTTGTTCTGTGCCATACGTATTATATACACATGCTACTTGGGGATTTTTATTTTGTTAGAAAAAAAATCTGTCTCACACTGTTCTGATATGTTTTCTTGGCTGTACTGTTTTGTTGTTGTTGTTGTTGTTGTTGTTGTTGTTGTTGTTGTTGCTGCTGCTGCTGCTGCTGCTGCTGCTGCTGCTGCAGCAGCTGCATTGCTTCTTGTTTGGGAATTGTAGTCAAGTTCTTCAACTAATCTCCTCATATTAGCAAGCTGTATTAATGAGATAATAAACCAGGCTTGTTGCTAATGAATTGATTCATTCAACTGCTGAATTTAATTAGAAAGACACTTAACATTCCAGCAGATGTTCTTATTTTGTTTCGGTACACTTGTATTTCCACACAATGAGCTGACAAACACATCAACATCCATATTCATATGCCATACTTTTGAAGTCATTTTGTTTCATAAATCATATGATACTGACAGCTCCTGAAGTCACAGACAATGAAGAAAGGAAGATCTTACTCCAGGGAAATCTGAATGCTTCTTACCTCCTGTTTACACATACAAATAACACTGGCTATAGACCAAATCAATGGAAACTTGGGATACCATTTCCGCTTTTTTAAAAAAGGGGGAAATAGTAGGAATTTAAAAAATCAGCCTCTTTTCTTAATATCTCAGTGTCAGGTATAGATACTGTATATACTTAAGTATAAACCAACCTGAATATAAGTTGAGGCACCTAATTTTACCACAAAAAAACTAGAAATACTTATTCACTCGAGTATAAGCTGAGGGTGGGAAATGCAGTAGCTACTGGCAAATTTCAAAATAAAAATAAATAGCAATAACATTACATTAACTGAGGCATCACTAGGCTAAATGTTTTTGAATATTCAAAGAAAAACAAAGTAAACAAGCTCTGTAAATGGAAAAGTAGGGTCAACAAAACAATATGGTATCAAAAATAACTTTATAATAATAATAATTTAAAAAACTTCATTTGTATCCCACGCTATCTCCCCATGGGGACTCAGGCCGGCTTCCAAAATAGTAACAGGCAAACATTCATTGCCTATATAAACAATGCAGAGCAGATCTAGATCTATAATTATATATACTATGTTTTAAAATAATGTATACATATAGATACAGATATACAGATAAATGGAAATCTCTAGATATCTATATGTATACAGGATTTGCAAAGACCTGCAAACATATGAGGAAAATTCATATATAAAATTAATGTAGATAGTTAGATACAGATATGTAGGTACATAGGGGTTGCAAAGATTTGCAAAGTGAAATGTCTATATGTCTGTAGGCAAGATTAACAAATATTTCAGGGAAAAATGCTTTTATAAGATTAATAGATATTCCTGGCTTGCAGAGGCTTCTCCCCTCCTCCCTTCCCTTTTCAAAGCATTCCAACCTGGGAGGAGAAGCAGAACAGAAGCAGAAAAGAAAACACACTGTTTAGGGAGGGGAAGATGAGCGAGAAATCTAACATATATTGCAAGCAATGGACTTCAGGCTCTGCTGCCCAGCTTGACCCCATTATAAGCCAGGGAGGCTTTTTCAGCAAATAAAAAATCTGTCCCAGTTGGTATCAAAATATTAATCAACTGGATGCCTTCATTGATTTAAAATACTGCATTTGATACTATAAGTAGAAATTTAATATGGGCCAAATCGGATAAAGCATACATTGACTAAAAGTGTCTTTCTTTTTTTACCAAAGCACTATATGTGGATGCTTGATTAAGAGTCAGAACTGGGGTAAACCACACATTAACTTATAATACTCCCATTGATATGGGGGCCAGCCAGGACTATATCTTTGTTCCAGTTCTTTTTGACTTTCATTTTAATTATTTGGTTTCTATAGTTCAGGAATGTCATATGCCAAAGATATTTGGTACCAAAGTGATTACCCTTTTATATATGAGATGATGTAATAATCTGCTGCACAGGTTGGTAGGTTTCTAAGGCAATTTAGTTCATTCTATAGGGGGAATGATGTGGAAATTAACTATAAGAAATTTAAGGTCTTAATTTTTGGAAAGAATATAGCCCTTACAGATGGTTCCTCGGGGCCAATGAAAATGAAGAGGTGAATTTCCTTACATACTTGAGTCACTCTTCTCATCTACAGGTTTCCTGGTCACTGCAGATTAAAAGAACTAAGCTAAAAGCCGTAGCCTGTTCTCAGTCTCTGAACTGTCGTTCGAATTATATCTATCTGGGATCCCTTTTATAAGTATTCAGAGGTCTGTTCAACTTGACATATGGCTGAGAAATTGAAGTGTGTTCTGATCCCACGAATTCAGAAAAGGCCCCAAACTACTTTTTGTGTAATATTTTAAGAGTGCTTCCAGTTTGTTCAGCCTATTTGTGCACATCTGAAGTTGGACATTTGACAGCATTACTGACAAGTATGTTTTCTTTTGATAGTAGGAACTATATAGTGATACCTTGATACCTGCTGGATTTGGTTCCACCCCCCACCCCCCTGTGGGTATCAAAATTTGTGTATGCTATAGACCTATTATATAAAGTGGTGTAGTAAAATGGCATCTCTTATATAAAATGGCATAATCAAACTTTGTCTTTTTGGAATTCTCATAACATATTTTCAAGCCATGGATGGTTGGATCTGGGAATGCAGAATCCATGGATATAGTACTATCTCAGCCTTTTTTCTCCTGAAATTTGATAGCATCCATACTTGCCTTATTGTTATATGTATATTTGCCTCCTTCAGGGCATAAAGACTGCATTTTGGAGTCACTCTCTCTGCCAGAAAACCCAGGTGGCATTTCTGCTGTAGAAGAATCTCCATCTGTGACTTGTATATTCTGTGAAGAATGTTCTCCAGTTTCAGAACAAAACCAGCTTCTGAAGCACATGATTATAGAGCATAAGCTTGTCATAGCAGACATCAAGCTCGTTGCTGATTTCAGGAGGTATGTTATTATTTTGCTTGCTTTAAATTAGATAACGCAACCTAGCTCAAAAGTGGCCAGTTTTCTGGCACCAAGGACAGTGTTTTTGCTGATATGTCTATTGGAAGCCACCAGTGGTTCTCAACTTGTGGGTCCGCAGGTGTTTTGGCCTGCAACTCGCAGAAATCCCAGCCAACTTACCAGCTCTTAGGATTTCTGGGAATTGAAGGCCAAAACATCTGGGGACCCATGGGTTGAGAACCACTACACCTGGAAGTGGAAGGCTTTTTATGTTGTTTTATTGATGAGGAACATTGGGAGACGGACAAGGAAAAGGACAAGAAAAGTTAATCAAAGTGAATATATAATGTGTTTCCCAATCTGTGGGTCTCCAGATATTACTGGCAGAGCAATTCCAATAGTACCTGGGAACCCAAAATCAGAAACACTTGGAAGCAGGCTACGTTCAGAATTATAGTCATGAGGAAATTATGTGGACACAAAAGAAAGGTTTGCTAGGTGTTCTGGCAGCAACTATGAGAGCAGAACTCAGACACGGCAGATACAACATTTGCATTTTCTGCAGGAATGAACATATTTCAAACAAGAGAGAGAGGAATAAATAATTATACAAAAGGATGGTAGTATTGGCCATGAAACTGAATTTTGTAGAAACTACAGTCAGGCATTAAAGACCCAAATTACAGGCAGATCTTTAAAATGAAATAGTTTATTCCTTAAATGACTGTTGCATGAGCAACCAGCATAGATGATGTTGCATGAATGGCTATGATAGAAAAATGATTTGGAATATCTACCACAGATTTTGGCATATTTGCCCATTTTGTGTCTGGAATTGTGCTGTTGTAATTGTCTTCTCCTGCTGCTGCTAATAAACCTGTTGAAGAAATATTATAAAATGTGTACATCTTTCCCCTTGGGTTGAGTCACACTTGCATGATGGCAGACATCGACATATTGAAATGTACTACTAAAAAGAAGGTTATGTGATACCTCCCTTCTTCAGGAATACCATTTTGGTTGTCTTTCTGAGTTTTCCATGATACACTCAGGTCTTGACAACTCACTGCTGAACTTCCCACTCTTAACAATTCCTACATATTGTAGTCATCAAGTGATAGCCATAGATGTGTGAACTTGTTCTTCTAGAAATATTTTGTACGTCCTGCCAACGAAAGGTTCAGAACAAGTTGATGGAAACTAATGCATCCTGTGCCAAATAAACCAATTTCTCTGTTCTAGAGCCATGTGCAATTTCATAAGGTGCTCTCATAGACAAGCCTAATTCAAAGCATGAAACACTGTTGCTTAGCAATTCCATATACTATAGCATGTGTTCCAGTCTGCCCATATGTTCTGTTTGTCAGTGTTTTTCAAGCCTGGTATTTGTAAAGTTTTTCTCTCTCTTCCTGGTTCAATATTTCTTGCTTCTGATAGCAGAAATCAAGCTCTTCCCTGAACATATCGTGTACCATACATCAGTGTCAGATTTGATATTCACAAAAATAAGTCTGCAATTCTTTTTCCACTGAGAGCTAGATTGTTGTGTCATTTCCGGGCTTTATGGCTATGTTTCTCAGCATTTTCTCCTGATGTTTCACCTGTGGCTGGCATCTTCAGAGAATCTTACCAATCAAAAGGCTGGCAGTTTGAAACCCGGTCAGGGTGAGCACTTAACCTTCAGCCCAGCTCACTGATGGTGGTAAAGCAAGTGGAGTACATATACCTATGGATTGTCTAGGGTGAGAAAAAGGCCTTTGTCCCCTTGGCACCTAACCTTCAGCCCAGCTTACTGTCCACCTAAGCAGTTCAAAAACAGCTGTGAGGAGACAAATTAGGCACCACTTAAGCTGGGAGGTATTTTACAGCACCATAAAAAGGAAACACCAGAAAAATGCTGGCGATCAAAGAGAGGAGGAAGTCTGTGATCAAGGGATCTTCATCATAGAGGGTGGAGCGATAGCATCCCCCTGTGGCTGGAATCGAGCACAACCTCCAGGACGCTGAAGCTAGGGAAAATGCTGACATAATACCTCTATCTGTTATCTGTCCTGTCTGTTTAACGGCATTGAATGTTTGCCGTGTATGTGTTCTGTGATCCATTCTGAGTCCCCTTCACGGTGAGAAGAGTGAAATATAAATGCTGTAAATAAATAAATAAATTCTTTTCTTTTGATTCCTCACGCATATGGTTGACTGCAGGGACTTCAGTTTTCAGTCTATCAAATACATTCATTTCTGCAGCTATCTTCCATATCAATCCACCATTCAAGCTTTCATTACTCTATTCCTTTTCTTACCAAATAGAAGTTCTGGTATACCCAGATCCAGAAATTGGCCTCTTTGATAGAAATGCCATATGGTAGTCATGGTTCTGTGCCATAGGACTGTCTCACACTGAATGGCTTTTTTGGGACAACACACTTTACTGTCAGTTTGATCATTAAACACCTAGGTAGTCTCAGCATTCACACAATATGCATTTTTAAAGCATGCAAAAAACATTCATTTATGTTACAGCAAGTATGAAGTTTTAAAACAAAATAATAAGAAGGAAAGAATCTAGGGGAACTAAAACCCTTACTTTAAAAATGTTGGCTCATTTAGTAGCATCAATTTGGCATGTTTAAAAGCAAATACTGGTTGTTTTGTCTTGTCTTTTTGTCCCCCCCCCCCTTTTTTTTTATATAAGGTGGACAATTGGTTTGTAATGGATTTCCAATTTGTAACTACTTTGTACTGGCGAGTGTCTCGTTTTATGCCAGAAACAGCCTTAGACACAAGTGAAAGCAAATAAAAAAGGGCTTTACTTCAGCCAAAATAAAGATAATACATGGTCTTCCAGTAAACATAAAACAGAAGTCTTCACATCAGACAGCAAATTAAAGTCTTTGATGATACCATGCGGTGTTCAAACAAATGTAAATCAGAAGTCTTCAATCAGACAGCAAATAAAGTCTTGGAAAAAACAGGCTTACAAGTTGCAAACAACAAGAGCCTTCAGAGATCAGATGCTGGAACAACGGGAGGGTGCTGGTAACAGGAACTCTCCCGAAAATAGGTCAGTTGCAACCAGCACTGAGCCCCTGACTTTGCTGCTAATTTATAGCCCTGGACTTCCCATCACAGCTGTCCTAGGGCACTGTCTGATTGGTCAGCATTTTATCTGCTAACCTAGCTGATCTCCTTCTGCCCTCTTTCTCCCTTTCAAGTTCCAGCAATGTAGGGATTTCTGATATTTCTACCACCTCTCCTCATTCTTCTCCCTCACCACTAAACCCCAAATCCCCAAGTGCTGTTTCCACAACCTGTCCTCCTTCCCCCTCACAATCAGAAGAGAAGTCCACAACAGGGAGATTGCTCCAGCTAAATAGAAATGTCATGAAAAAACGGGCTCCGCAAAATATAAAATAATAAAAAAACTTTATTTATATTCTGCCCTATCTCCCCAGGGGGACTCAGGGCAGATTCCAACATACAAAAAAGGCAAACATTCAATATCTCAATAAAACAAACAAGTGTCAACGAGTAATCCAAAATAACTCCACATATGAAAAAATTCCAGAACCTGACATCAATAAATTGAACAAAACATAATCTAACAAAATTATATAATGACATACAACCTAAACAGTAAAGCGTTTGCATTGATTTACAGAAGCCAACCAAAGCTCACAAAGGTGTGTAGGTTGATTGTGAGGCCAATGATAACAGTTGGGCCAACATGGACTAACAGAGCCTGAATACAACAGTTGTTCTCGACAAGAGGTCCAGAAAAGATCTCTCATTAATCCTCCTCTCCATGTTATAGTGATCAAAAATAAGTCTTCAGTTGTTTTGTGAAGGAGAAGAGGGAGGGGGACGTCTTCATTTCTTTAGGGAGGGAGTTCAAGAAGTGAGGAGCGATCACGGAGAAGGCTCTCTCTCTCTCGTTCCCACCAGCCATACTTGAGATGGGGGTGGGACCGAGAGCAGGGCCTCCTCCGCTGACTGCAGTGTCCAAGCTGGTTTGTAAGAGGAGATGCGATTGGCTAAATAGCCTGGACCTGAGCCATTTAGGGCTTTCAAGGTATTGGCCAGCACTTTGTTTTTAGCTCAGAAGCAGACTGGCTGCCAGTTGAGCTGCCGCAGCATGGAAGTGGTTCTCTCCTTTCACGGGGCTCCAATTAGTAATCTGGCTGCCAATCTCTGAACCAGTTGAAGACCAGCAGTATTAATGAGTGATAGAAACACTGACATGAGCATTGTATACTAAGAATGTAATGAAATAAGAACTGTTTGGAAAAGTTATGTAACAATTTCTTACAGTGTAGCTTCTTCTCTTCTTTAAAGATATGTGCAGTACTGGAAGAAAAGATTTGCAGAGCAGCCGGTTACAGACTTCTGTCCTGTAATAAGAACAAATTCTGAAGCACCTCTAGGTAGGTATAATTTACAATTTAACCCATGTAATACAATCTGTAATGCAGGATGTAGGGTGCTGTTAGACTACCCAACTGATGGAATGATTTTGTTTAGATGACATGGCTGGGATGTTTTAACGTGATTGTATTGCCCAATTTAATAGTAGTTATTGCTGTCTTTTATTGATTATTTCACTTAAATTGAGTTGGGCCTTTTTATCTTTTGTAAGTGTTTTATGTTAATTTATATTGTTATTGTTATAAATGTTTACTTATATTTTACTAGCCGTCCCCTGCCACGCGTTGCTGTGGCCAGTCTGTGTATATGTGTTTTGTGTGTGTGTTTGTGTATATGTGTGTGTATATTTCTGTATATATGTATTTATGTGGTTATGTGCATACAGTGTAATGTATTTTTTTAATTTTTTGCCTTTTTAAATTTTGTCTGCTGTGTTTTTCAGGGGTTTTTTTGTTTTTGTTTTTGTTTTTTTTAGTGATGGTCACTCGTTGGCCTGATAGGTACATTGTGTCCAAATTTGATGTCAATGCATCCAATAGTTTTTAGGCTATGTTAATCCCGCAAACTAACATTACTTTTTTATTTATATAAATGTGTTTTATGGCACTACTATGTGCTGTTCTGTAAGCGTCATTGACTCCTTTCTGGGAGATGGTAGTAGAATGCAAATAAAGTTATTATTAGTGTGGACCTGTGGGACATGTGTCTTTTTTTCAAATGCTGGATTGCACTTAGCCCTTTCAACATTGCTGTTGGTGAGAGATAAAATGGGCATTGAGGTTCTACAGTATCTGAAAGATTTTGCTTTCCCCACCCTTGACTCAGTTGTCATAGTTTGTAGTCAATTGAAATTTTGATTTACTTTGAATACACCGTTTGCCTGATGCTAAGAGTATTATGTTACATTTTAGATGATAAATTTAATCATAATCTTTACATATGGGCAAAACTATAAAGCTTTTAATTTTTATAGGTTCTAGGTGTTTTATGCCATCATCAGTTGGCAGATACTAATCTGCATCTTTCATCAGCATCTGCAAAGGAAGTTAGAAGTCTAATATCATGTTTTATTATAGACATAGATTATGAACAAGACTGTACGTTTAAAAAGTTTTATGGTTTCTATAAAATATAATGTCTTAATAAATTATCATCACTATCCATAGCCATCTGCATTAATCACTAGTCTTTTCAGTTGTTATGCACAAAAACTTAAAAGTACCCTGTTTTGCTTGGGTTCATACCTGCTACCACACCCTCACTGTATTGCTATTCTCCACCCCAGTAATAATTTAGCTCATACCAGCTTTGCCTGGGATAGAAGCTATTTTACTACCTCTCTGTGTGTGTGTGTGTGTGTGTGTATGTTTGTCCCTGGTTTTAGCTTCTATCCCTAAGGCTGTTTTCTTCCTTCCAATTCTTTTCCTTCTCCCTCCCATTCTCAATCACCCTTAGCAGCTCTATTCCTCCCCCTGCATCACTCTTAGGGTTGTCATATTCTAATCCCCAACATCTAGGCAGTAGTCAAGTGCATTCAGAGCATACCTTCATCTTGGCATTAGGTGGAGCCCCCCGATCCATTTAGCCTGAGCCTCCCAAAATTGGGAGGTCAGGTTTTTGGTTTTTGTTTTTGGGCTGAAAGATCTGTTTTCTTTTGCCCCATTATTGGAGGGAGGGACTTTACCCATAGGCCCGGGCGCTTTGGGCCTTCAGGTGCAGGTTTTGAGCCTACGCACCAGGGCCTTGCAGGACCTGCAGCTGAGCACCGAGTAAGGAGCGCTCCTTCCTCGGTGCTCAGCTGCAGGCTCTGTGAGATCCCGGTGTGTAGTCTCAAAGCACCGGGGTGCCTGCAGCTGAGTGCCAAGTAAGGAGTGCTCCTTACTTGGTGTTCAGCTCAGGCCCTGCCAGGCCCCAATGCTTTGGGCCTACAAGTGCAGGTTTTGGACAGTCAATCGGAAAAACAGACTTGGAGCTGCTCCTTCCTGCCTTTCGTTTTGAGTCCATTATCGTTCCAGGAGGGGATTTCCCATTTTGTGACATCCAAATGGATAGAACAAAATGGTAACACAAATCAAACAGATGAGACAAATTTCGGGCTCGTGACTACTAAGGCAGCCTCTTTTGTGAATTATTCATTCATTTCAAATGATCAAACAGTGCCTATGCTCAGCCTCTTACCCATTTGCAAAAATAATCATACTGATCTGATTAGATTTACTGTAAGGATTACAGAGTTTATGGAACAAACGTTCTTTGTGTGCTCAACAGCAGGAACTTGGACCACTGTTGTTTTGGACTGCAACTCAAGAATCCTTTAGCCAGCATACTCGTGTAACACAGTGATTAATAGTTATAAATCTTTTCAAAAGGGGATGTGTCACAGACTTCATGTGTTTGTTCTTCATTCATTGTTTCTTACATAACAGTTGAGTAGAATTGTTATGTTTCTTATCTAAAGTCTTACAAATGCTGCCGATAAAGGTCTTACTTGCATTGTACAGTTATCCATTTCATACTATGCATGGGTTAATAAAGTTGATGTGTTCCTGTGCATTATTTCTTTGATAGGAAATTTGGTGTCAGAGGCAGAAATAACATGGGTAGAATAAGTATACGATTCTACACCACAAAAAGAGCAGCATATTTCAGTAACTTTTTATTCAAAACAATATACACATGTGAAATGAAGCTACTGGGTCATGTAAGCTTTGCATAAGTGAATAAAAACATTTTGAATGATCTACTTAATTTCCTCCCAGAATGTATCCCAGGATTATTTTTATTTCACCAGCTGGCAGTTTTCTGATAATTTTTACTTTTCCATTTGGCATTAACAGAGCCATGTCTACCCTTTGCTGTTGTTTATTCATTCAGTCACTTCCAACTCTTTGTGACTTTATGGACCAGCCCAAGCCAGAACTCCCTGTCGGCCTTGGCCACCTCCAGCTCCTTCAAGTTCAAGCCAGTCACTTCAAGGATAACATCCATTCATCTTGCCCTTGGTTGGCCCCTCTTCTTTTTTTTCTTCCATTTTCCCCAGCATCATTATCTTCTCCAAGCTTTCATGTCTTTTCATTATGTGGCCATTATGTGGTACTTCATCTTTGCCTCTAATATCCTTACTTCAGGTGAGCAGCCGGGCATTTTTTCCTGGAGTATGGACTTGTTTGATCTCGCAGTCCAAGGCACTCTCAGAATTTTCCTCTAACACCACAGTTCAAAAGCGTCTGTCTTTCTTCACTCAGCCTTCCTTATGGTCCAGCTCTCGGATCCATAGATTACTACGGGGAATACCATTGCGTTAACTATGCAGATCTTCGTTGCCAGTGTGATGTCTCTGCTCTTCACTATTTTATCGAGATTGGTCATTGCTCTCCTTCCAAGAAGGAAACGTCTTCTGATTTCCTGGCTGCAGCCTACATCTGCAGTAATCTTTGCACCTAGAAATACAAAGTCTGTGTTAACTTGGCTAGTATATTTGTGAACAATCCTCTTAAACATTAAAATGCACTTGTTTTGATTGTCTGAGATTGTCATATAGACCTGAAATATATAAATAAAAGGCAGCTTGTTAGGCGGCTGTACTATATGTGCAAAAGTGTTGAACTTCCATTCTGTAATCTTCTAACAGAGGACCAGGACAATTATTTTCTTTTATGTGATGCTTTGCCTGAAGATAGAGAACTGAGGGAGAAGCTCCAACAGCAGAGACTGGTAAGGTGTGATTTTGCTTCCTAATGATTTCTGAGTTATGATAAAGCTTGACAAAGCTTTATTCTCTCTGAACTACTCATAGATACGTGTATGGATTTCCTTTGGTGTCTTTATCACTTTGGGACTTGCAGTGGAATAGCAAGAGCACCATTCAGGGAAAAATTACGAAGAAACCTATAAACTTTGGTGTCATTTTGCCACAGATACAACCTTGCAATGGCACCTCTGATCCATGAATTGCTCATGATGAAATAGTGCTAGAATTGATGGGCAGTAAGAAAACTCCATGGTGTTTTTTTTTCCTTTCAGAGTGACCAGTTCCTCACTTTTTGCCTATACTGAGAGCTGGCAAGAATAGCTTGTTATTTAGCAGGTTATCCACCTTCTTTGAAAAGAAATGGAGGCCATCAGAATAAAAAGTTGAAGTAGTTGAATATTAGAGTAAGGTTTGCGCAGAATAATAACCGAAACAGGGATATGCTAAAAGTCATGTGAATGAATGTTACTATATTGGTAATGGACTCCAACTCCTAGCTGTTTTAATAATAACCATTGTCAGGTTTAATTTCATTTTTTAGAGTCCCTAATCTGTCAAGTCTAATTTGGAATGTGCAAACTATACCAGCAAATGGAAAGGAATACTTATTTGGCTGAACTACTGAGATTCTACTAAAAGTACAGAGGAAGTCCTACAATTTTGAAGTCTCTTCTGCATTAGAAGGCAGAATATGTGACAGGTGTTTAAAAAAAAGGAGAGCAAAAGCTATGGCCACAACACTGGAGAGTTTTATTTAACTACCTATTTCCTGCCAAAGTGCTTAACAATGTGTGAGAAGGAACAAATTTCAAGCCTCAAAAGAGAAGGTCTTGCTCGGTTTAATGGCCCTGGGACACAAAACAACCGGATCTTTCCCCAGGTGTAGAATATACTATTATTTATGTCCAAAGCAATTTTCAGTCACAAATACTATACAGTTCTCATTTCATTCATTTCCTCGTGGTGACAAGGAAACTAAATATCTTCTCAGCTCCCATTTCCCCACTTCAAGCCCTCTTGTATTACCTTACCGGTAAGTGTAAAATATAAATGATTTCTTGCTTCATTTTCCCTTTTGGAGAGGATACCCCTAGACTCTCTCTTACTCACTTCACTTGCCTGAAGCAATATAGAGCTGCATACTAGAAGCACTCAGCGGTAAAAATGCAGCTTTTATTTAAATTGGAGGAGAAAATCCCCAGAAACAGATATGGAAATATGATCTGTTTTAAAATACTGTAGGAGATCTGTTGGGAATATGGTAAGTGATAAAATATGTTTTTTTGCTGTAGGCTTTAAACCTATATTTAAATTTATCCCTTTTTTCAGGAAAAAAAGGGTTTGATCTTTTCATTAATCTATTCCTCGAGGAGCCCATAACAGTCATATTGACCTATCAAGGAAAAAATATACTTACAGTTTTACAGACCAAGTCATTATATCTCATCTAGGTTTTTTTAATACTATTTTTATGGCCTCGTTTTGGGGAAAACCCATACTTTTGAGATTATATGAACATTGCTCTAGGTTAGATAATCTTTCAAAACTTTCTGTTTTGGTTATTATTCTTTCTTCTTGCTATGAGAATATTTAAATTAATATCAGTAAATGTAGTAATGCTTCGAAATCACTCACATACCAATTGCTCATTACTTTGAAAAATGGTGGCCATCGCTGCAAACATGTTAAGACAGGGAACTGAAGGAATCTTGGCTCACTCAGGACAATCAGTGTGTGGATTGAATGGTTTCTTTATTGTGTCCCCCGGATGGGTGTTTGTTTGTTTTTTTCCCATGGGTTGTTTCCTTCCTATCAATCCAGAGGAAAAAAAACCTTGCATGTTATGAGAGAAACAAACCTCTAACTTTTTGGCAAAGTAATGAAGCAGCAAACATATCGCACCCATTTTTGGAGTGGATTTTTCTTCTTATTCTCCTTTGCAGTTTAGACTAGCATTCACTGTAAGCCAAGGTTCAAACCTTTCTTTTTAGCTTACTGTATTGTGCATGTATATTGTGGCCAATATAAAATCACTGGAAATAGCTTTCTACAAATTTTTCTGTTTCTTTTTTCCCCTCCCCATCACTATCCTGTTTAATAGAGAGAGATTCTGGAGCAGCAGCAGCAAGAACGATATGATGCAGAATTCCATGGTATATGTATGTTCTGCGACAAAGAATTCACTGGTAACAGGTTGGTACTGAATGACTGTATCTACATAGACTCATAGAATCATAGAGGTGGAAGAGACCTTGTGGGCCATCCATTCCAACCCCTGCCAAGAAGCAGGAAAATCGCATTCAAAGCACCCCTGACAGATGACCATCCAGCCTGTTTTTAAAAACCTCCAAAGAAGGAACCTCCACCACACTCTAGGGCACAGATTTCCACTGCTGAACAGCTCTCACAACTCAATACAATAAATGAAATCAAAACATAAACAACAACATAATCAGTTACATAAAACATAAACTATAGGAATACAACAAACAATATAAAATTACAATAAAATCACTCATAACACAGAACAATGAGCAGGCCGCATGTACAGAATCCAGTGAGCGGGCCGCATGTACAGCTACATGATGCTGCATTCCATCCTCCCCTTTCCTCTGTGGTCTCTGTAGTGAAAAGATACACAATTGCAAAAGAGAAAATAAGAAAAAGAATTTTTTTGCAACATTCTGTCATTTTTAGCACTAGCCTTTAACCCAAAGCATGTGTTTCAGGCATCCTTAAAAGTGCCCTGAAGGACTATCTATTTTGAAATGTTTTGCAGGTCAATCCTTCTCAATCACATGGCAAATGATCATGCATTCAATATTGGATTGCCAGACAACATTGTAAACTGTAAGGAATTTTTGGATCTTCTACAGAAGAAACTTGACAGGTACATGAGCATCCTCCATTACTGTCTTTTTAATTTAAAAAAACCCAATTAGATTTATATTGGTTGCAATTACCCCTTACCCTGCCCTCACTGTCCCTGTTTACAGCAATGTCCGGTAGTTAGTCTCCATATAAATATTAAAATCATTCGAAGTGCACAACTTGAGGTGGGAAGATGTCACACCTTGTGTAGGGAGATGATCCATAGTCTAGCACAGGCATGGGCAAACTTTCTAACTTGGAGGCTGCACGCTAGCACTCCCTGCTAAGATGACTGGCTGTGTGGTGAGGGAGGAAGGAAAGAGGAAAGACAAAAGGGTGGAAGGGAAGGAAGGAAGGACGAAAGGGTGGAAGGGAATGGAGGGAGGGAAGAAAGGAAGAGAGGAAGGAAAGAGAGAAGGAAGGAAAGACAAAAGGGAAAAGGAGAAAGAGAGAGGGAAGGGAAGGGAGGAAGGAAGGAAGGAGAAAGAGAAAGGTAAGAGAGAGAGGGAGGAAAGACAAGGGAAGGAAGGATGAAAGGGTGGAAGGGTATGGAGGGAGGGGGGAGGGAAGAAAGAGGGAGGGAAGGAAGGATGAAAGAGTGGAAGGAAGGAGGGAGGGAGGAAGAGGGAGGGAAGGAAAAAATGGAGGGAGAGAAGAAGGAAGAAAAGAGGGAAGGAAGGAAAGATAGGATGGTGAGAGAGAGGAGGGTCTGAGAAAAGAGCCCACGGGGCTGCCCATGGGTTTGCCCATGCCTGGTCTAGTTAATGAATGGGGACAAGATAGACCAGTTTATTATTTTCCCTCTCTTTGGTGAGCACAGGTTAATTTTTCTGCTAAAGCAACCCACCAGAATCTTATTAAACTACCAGTGAATTGATAGACCTTCCTCTGATGTCCATGCTCTCAATCTATCAGCTCATGTGTTTGTATTTCCTGCATCCAGTTGCACTTAGAAAACGGCTTCTGCTGTCTGGACTCTCCCTTACCTGGGGGAGAACTTGGGATTCTTCCCCGAGTTAGTTTAACCTGGAGTAAAGCTGTGTTCTGCAGCATTGCCCTGGGTTAATTCAGATCAGTCCTGTGCAGGGTTTAGCTGCTGCGGGGCGTATCAATTTCCACACCAACTTAAGTGGCCTTAGAAATAGGTTTGAATCTTGGAAGATTTCTAGAGAGTTGCTGCAGAAAGGAAGATGATTTGAAAACATAAATGAAAAGGACTCTAGGGATGGAGAGCCAAACAATGGGGGAATGAGACAGTGTTGAAGATAGGCCTACTCTAATTATGACTCAGCCCGTGTCTTTTGTTATCTAGCAAAGAGCCTGAAAATAGCTTCAGGTCAGAGGCACAGTCTAAGGCTTCACTGCAAGTACCTGCTGGGTATCTACAATGCTGGATATAAGCCATATTGTGGTTTTGTGTTGTTATACTAGAATTAGGTGGGTTTAGAAGAGCGCATGAGATTTTAGTGAAAACTTTTTTATCCAAGAAGGTTTTTAATGTTTGAGTAGAGAGAGTCCTTATTAGGGCATGCTTTTTATTTATTTGTAACACTATTAAATTATTTTATGCTGGTGATGTGACAATTTTTAATTGTTTTCAAAGTTTTACTGTTCTGGGTTGCTGCGAGTTTTCCGGGCTGTATGGCCATGTTCTAGAAGCATTGTCTCCTGATGTTTCACCCACATCTATGGCAGGCATCCTCGAAAGTTGTCTAGGCAAGTGGGGTTGAAATATCTGCGGAATGTCCAGGGTGGGAGAGAGAACTTTTGTCTGCTTGAGGCAAGTGTGATATGGGTGAAACTTCAGGGGAGAATGCTTCTGGAACATGGCCATACAGCCTGGAAAACTCACAGCAACCCAGGGATTCTGGCCATGAAAGCTTCAGACAACACATTTTACTGTTCTTAATCATTCTCTTTGGAAACCAATTATCAAATTCTCCCATTTTGAGAGAAAGGTAGCATACCAATTAAATAACTAAATAAAATATTTTGAATATAGTAGTAACTTAAAATTTCATTGTGATTCATGCTCAGACAATAAAAACAGAGTGAACACAGGGTGTTCTTCATTTGGCATTCATTTAATGCCAAGCAGGATCATTCTGCCTGAAAGTATCTACAGCGTGTATTACTAAACTTCTTGATGTTCTTCCACAATGTAACAGTCTTATAATAAGCAGCCTTTTTAATAAGACCCCTTACATACCTTATCTGTGTGCTTTTTCAGCATGGAAGGCCATGCCAGTAGCCATAAAGCTCAGTAGTTCTGCCCGTTGAACTTCTAAGAACTTTAATCTCTGAACTAAGACTCTTCTAAATTAAATATATCCTTTCCCCAGGATTTCCCTCCCTCTTCTGAGTGTACTTTGCCTCCTTGGTTCCCTGTGCTGAGCTGTACAACTTAACCATTACAAAAGGATATAATACAGGAAAAATACTTAAAATAATTAGAGTTATGTAACTAAAATGCCCAATTCCAATAAATCAGCAATCCCCTAATCTCTGTAAAATCAGATAAAAATAATGGGATTTTATATACTTGCATCCAATCTGTCTTTGTATACACCTCAAGTAATTATTTTCCTTCTTTTTTAAATATATATATATATATATTTATTATCATACAATGTTGACATTGCCTCAACCCTTGTCTGGCTGATTAGTATTATTTCCATAGCCATTTGCTTTCTTTCCTCCTTAGTTTGCAGTGCTTATACTGTGAAAAGATATTTCGGGATAAGAACACACTCAAGGATCACATGAGAAAGAAGCAACATCGCAGAATCAATGCCAAAAATAGAGAATATGACAGATTTTATATTATTAATTATCTGGTAAGATATTTATTTGTTTTTAATAAAATAAATGGTGCTTTTTCTACAAGTAGAAATTCCCCTTAAGGTGGTATAAACAAATAGCAGCAGCAACTGCAAAAATGAAATATTGCCTATAAAACTGAACATGTTAACAGTAAAAGATCCTCTGTCGTGAAAATTGTTCATTTAGAGGCAAGCTGTTTCTTAATGTACAACAGATTCTGTTAAAAGCAGATTCAGACAACCAGTTCTTAAAGCCCCATTAAAAAACATAGCCTACTAGGAAGTCAGATTTACTTCTTGAAGGAAAAATGTCATAACAAGCTTCTGTGGATCTTGCCACAGAGAAGAATGCCTGGCTGATCATGAAGTCTGGTCAGTGAGCTACAGGTAAACTTGAGCCCAAAGCCCAGGACACTGAAATCTGGGAGAGAGCAAGAAATACCTCCCAGAGAATGGCAGGAAATGTGAATGCAATGCTGAATAGGCTACCATAGGGTGCAATAACATGGTTGTATTGGATGCTTTCTCCTGGGGCTGGGGCATTTTTTCCCCCTTTCTCCTTGTTTTAAGGAGAAAAAACATCATACTCAAGATTCAGGGGGACTTCACAGGGAATGTAACCTGCCCAAGACTGGTTGGCCCACCTACATGCCATTCCCTACCCATATCTAAAAGCTGACTTGGGCACCTAATTCATCTTTCCAAGTTTCTAGGATATGCAGCTGAATAGGAGAGGTAGAACTGTGTGCCTACTGTGCATTGAGGTTAAACTGTGTGTCTACTGTGCATTTAGGTTAAACCTCTATGGGCATTTTCCCCAGTAAATATGTGTAGTTATTCGAGATTGGGACACACACACCCCCACCCCTTCCTGGTGGCGCAGCAGGTTAAACTGCTGAGCTTCAGAACTTGCTGACCAAACGGTCCGCAGTTCAAATCCAGGGAACGGGATGAACTCTCGCTGTTATCCCCAGCTTCTGCCAACCTAGCCGTTTGAATGCATGCAAATGTGAGTAGATCAATAGGTACTACTTCAGCAGGAAGGTAACGGTGCTCCATGCAGTCAAGCCGGCCACATGACCTTAGAGGCATCTACAAACAACACTGGCTCTTCAGCTTAGAAACGGATATGAGCACCACCCCCCAGAGTCGGACAAGACTAGAATTAATGTTAATGTTACATTATTGGAGATAGATCGAAAAGGGCAATGCCCATGATGAAGAACAGAAATTCTCCAGCACCGTTAAACATTGCAAAAGGAGCCGTTTTGGTAGATAAAGGTATTACTATGGTAAATTTAAAAAGACAACTTACTTCCCTTCCTCCCACCTATTAAACAGACAAAGCTATCTTTTGTCTGATCTTCCTCCCCCTTAAGTTTCCATATATTAGTAATGGGTAGTGTGTTGTAAATCGACCTCATTTTCCTTTACCGTTGGCATTTTGGCTAGAACTGATTAGATGCATCGTTCTAAGGACAATTATAGCACCACGGTTTTTCCCATTCCTGCCGTAAGCCTTAATGATGATAATATTAACCTGGCTTCCTGAGGCAAACAGGTCTAAGCTGTAACAGTTTCCTAGTTACTGTTACTTTTTTCCCTTCTCTTCCAATGAATATGGTCCATTACTTTGAAATTAGAAAAGTATAACCACAGCTGCAAGTATTCAGTGGCCATGAACCATTCATGAAATATTTCCAAGAAGGCAGAAATGCAATATACTTCATAGAGTTGCTTGGGAGGATTTACAGAGGTGTTCTCTCTACACCAGCTTTCTCAACCTGGAGGTCAGGACCCCTGGGGGGGGGGTTGCGAGGGGGTGTCAGAAGAGACACCAAAGACGGTCAGAAAACACAGTATTTTCTGTTGGTCATGGGGGTTCTGTGTGGGAAGTTTGACTATAAATCCCAGCAACTACAACTCCCAAATGTCAAGGTCAATTTTCCCCAAACTCCACCAGCGTTCACATTTTGGTATATTGAGTATCCGTGCCTAGTTCTGTCCAGATCCATCACTGTTTGAGTCTACAATGCTTGCTGGATGCAGGTGAATGACAACTCCCAAACTCAAGGTCAATGCCTACCAAACCCTTTCAGTATTTTCTGTTGGTCATGCTGATGGAGTTCAGAATGCTCTTTGACTGTAGGTGAACTATAAATCCCATCAACTAAAACTTCCAAATGACAAAATCCCCCCCCCCCCCAACCCCTGGACATATCGAGTGTTAGTGTCAAATTTGGTCCAGTGAATAAAAATATATCCTGCATATCAAATATTTACACTATGATTCATAACGGTAGAAAAATTACAGTTATGAAGTAGCAACAAATATGATTTTTTGGTTGGGGGTCACCACAACATGAGGAACTGTATTAAGAAGGTTGAGAAACATTGCTCTACGCATTTTCTAGATCCTTCTGTGCAATTTTATGGCATGCCTCCAACTGGAAGTCGTTTGTTTCAGAAGAGTTCACTATTATCTATTATTTCCCATTTCTAAAAGTAATTCCAGGAATGCATTCCCCATAGATATGAAGATCATGCTGTATTGCTTTCCAACAAGATTTGTTTTGGAAATAAATATTGTCAAAACAAATAGCCATTACTGTAATTCTGGTAATCAACTCTCTTAATATTGTAGCTGTTCTAGAATGCAGCTTAATACGATTATTTGTGGCTTATAGCTTAGGAGATCCTGTTGTTGTTCTGAAGCAGTTTTGCGTGTGTGTGTGTGTCATAGTTTCACTGCTCTCTTTGCATTAGCAATCCCTGAAGGCCAATTTGCAAACAGTTAAGATGCCAGGTCACAAAAGGAAGCCTAGAATAAGAGCCCAAACCTCCACATACAAGCCCTCTTTTCATCACCATGTATCTGCCCCAGTTGTAAGCATGGTGGAAAATGTGTCTAGCCTTTGGGTCCCTGCCTCTTTTCCTCTATATAGATACTCCTATGGGACCAGACTGTCTGGCTGAATTGGTCCTGGTAGACTTTTCATTTCTCTGGTGGTGGGCAGATGCAAGCCATTCAGCAGATCTGCTTGCAGTGGAAATAGCTGGCAAAAATCCCAAGATTTTTTTTTAAAGCAGCTGGAAATGGCTAAAATTAAACACACAGCTCAAACACATATGCACACACATCAGTATCCATTGCCTATTTTAAATTTGTGGGTCACTTTGTTGTATTGAGTGTAGAAGAAGAGAGATCTTACCCTCCCTTCTGCGTTATTTTTACCCGGCTGTTGGCTTTGCATTAAAATCTAGCAACTAATTTGCTAGAAGCAGCCATTTCCATAAGAAACGGTGTTATAATCTTGAGGGAGAAAAGAGAAGCTGGAATGGTGTTAACTGCCTTGCATTATCTCACAATCCTGGCAATGTTAATGAATCCAACTGCACTTGGAGAGTGCACCCTAGAGAGTAACATCTCTCTGAATTAATTACAAGACTTTAATTCCCTAATCTGTAATGACATCTTGTTAAAGGCTATTCCTATACTGTATGCCAGGACATCACTTACCTGACATGGTGGAACGGTTCAGGTATAAGATGGATCTCTCTGTTGTTGTTTTAATCTCCATTGATATAAAATGCTTCAGCAGTTAAAATACCTTATACATTTACCATTTAGTTGTATACTCTTCATTTTCTTCTTTCTCGCCTTTTGCCCTGATGTTTTTTACAGAGATATATTACTCTGATTACAGAGATACATTACCACTGAATGTCGAGCGGCACTAATTGCTATTATAAGCCTTCAGGTTGACTCTGACATATGGAAACTCTTATCATAGGATTTCCTTGGAAGGCTGTATTCAGGAAAGGTTTACCTTACCATATGGAGCCCTCAGTGGCTCAGTGGGTAAACCACTGAGCTGCTGAACTTGCTGACCAAAAGGTCAGTGGTTTGAATCCAAGGAGCAGGATGAGCTCCTGCTGTTAGCCCCTGCTTCTACCAACCTAGCAGTTCAAGAACATGCAAATGTGAGTAGATCAAGAGGTAACGCTCTGGCGGGAAGGTAACAGCGTTCAGAACTGTAGCCAGAAAAAAATAAAGGGGAGGGTTTGAAAAACAAAGAGAAGTAGTTCCATAACACAAAATAATTCAAATAGTATGATTCATTCTATATTTTATATAGACTTAATTAAATCAATTTTCTCATCCCCTTCATGGAGGGCTTCAAATCCCTCTATGCCTTAGGCTTTGCCTACCAGTTGTGGGTGGGCCAACATGGATGCTTCTACTATATCAGCTATTGCTGCAAGGAATGACTGTGAATAAATAGTCAAAATTTGCTTGAGATAGTGCTTGCAGTTCTGGAGAAACTTGTTTAATTTTTGCTTCCCATAGACTTAGCAGGGGGATTTGGTTAACCAGTTAAAATTCACGAGTAAACCATTTTTTAACCTGAAAAAATTGGGGGGGGGGGTTGAACCCCTACACCCCCCCCCCCCAGGCAACAGCCTTGGCGGCATTCCAGGCAGTCATGCTGGCCACATGACTTTGGAGGTGTCTACAGACAATGCCGGCTCTTCAGCTTAGAAATGGAGATGAGCACCAACCCCCAGGGTTGGACACGACTGGACTTAATGTCAGGGGAAAACCTTTACTTTACCCTTACCTTACCATTGCCTTCCTTTAAAGCTGAGGAAATGTGACAGGGAAAATAGAATTTGGTATGATGATTTCAGCATTGGGTTAGGAATAGAGAGGACTTTTTAGATCTTCACATAGCCATATAGATTAGTGGATGGTTTCACCTTTTCAACCTAACCTGCCTCACAGGATTCTTACGTGAATGGATATAGGGAATTGGCTCATGTGTGTTGCTTGCACTGCTTGAAGAAAAGAGTCAAATATAAAGGTAACACATATATGAAAGCTCAATATTAAAGACATAAGCTAGGTCTCCAGCTCGACAGCAAGAAATAATAGACAAGTTCAGGTGCTGTAGGCTACATTTCAGAGCAAGAAATTGGCAAAGCCATTTCTGACTTTTCTTGCCTCGGAAAAACTTTTGAAATTTATGGGGTCGCTATAAGTTGACCGGTGAATTGAAGGGCCATAGACACAAAACACCCCTGAAAGTTAACTGTAGTCAAATAGTTAATTAACAGCAAAAGGTATTCTAGATTATAGAACTACAGGCAGTTCCCAGACAAGATAGGTTTTGTAGATTTGTTCTTAAATTGAATTTGTGTGTAAGTCAAAACACATACATTTTTCAGTGTAACTTCAATTTTTTATTAAAACATACATTTAGATAGCATAGGAAAGAGTTAACACCACTATAACGTTTGTTTTTCTGTGTCTATGTTCAGACGATTTCACTTCATGTTCTGTCCCTGTGAGAATTGGATTTGAAGTTTTGGGCTTAGTATAGAAACAAAGATTGGTGATAAAAATTTCATTGAATACACCTTTCCCCATGATAACTCTTTCAGGAGTGAATTTCCCTTCCTAGGGGTAGATTTTCCCTCAGTTCCTGTTGTCTCACCCCCGTCTTTAAGCCGCTTTGAGTCTCCTAGAAGAGAGAAAAAGCAGGGTATAAATAAACATAAACACCATAATAATAATAAATCAGGGATTGCCTGTACTGACTGATAATTCACAAAGGACAAGTTCATTTTGTGACCCATTATTGGTACAGTTCTTTACTACATTTATTGATCGTTTCCACAACCATGCCATCAAACTAACTTGTGAAAGTTTGCATCCCCAAGAAAAATATTTTTCCCACAGTAACACCTTAAAATCTCAAATAATATAACCATAATAGGTAAGTACTGTAGGCTATATTTCAGAGGAAGGAACTGAGAAAACTACCTCTGAAGATCCCTATGACGGTTATGGAGTCACCATAGGTCAGCAGGTGCTATCAACACTCAGTAGATAGCACCTTAACTTTTTATCCACATACTAAGAAAACAACCCCAATGCCATGCTGAAAAGGACAGTTACTGTGAAATGTGGGGTGTTTGTTTGTTTGTTTGTTTTTAAATCCATCATCTAACAATCTGGAGATCTTAGCCTGACCTTAAAGGAATTCTGTTTGAACACACACACATTCAAATACAAACAGATAACTTACCAAGAAAGGGTTTTTTTCTCAATGAATATCCCTGTCTGAAGAATAATGTAAGTGAATCCATAGGCATCACACAAATGGGCAATAGCAATATTGACTAAGTGCAGGACATCTGTCAACTGTTTAAGGTTGCATCATAGAACAGGGATGGAGGCCTGAGCTCTAGTGCAATGTCTTGTGAATATTGAACAGCCTATTTCTGTCTTTGTGTAATTGTTGAATTCTGAAATGTTGCTAAGAGTTATATTATGTGAAATACATGTATACAAAGGGGATTGGATTGATTTCTACATTTCTGCTGCCCTATAAATTGGAATGAGTAGTTGACTACAGTGCAACCTCCGTATCCATGGGGAAACGTTCTGAAACTTCCATGGATCCCTGAAACTATAGATAATAGCAAACCTTATATTTTAACTATACTTTGGCCAGAAGTATACCATGGGATCACACTAGGGGACCTAGTGAGGCCACAAACACTTCTAGGAGATGTGGGGGTTGAACATGGATAAATGAAATTGTGGACATCAAATCTTCTACCACCAAAGACTATAGAAGGATTTAAAATGTGGGTTATTCTTGTGGTAAAGTGGATTTTTGTTTGTATTTTTCTTCAGGAATTTGGAAAGTCCTGGGAAGAAGTTCAATCAGAAGATGACCGTGAATTGTTGCCCAACCAGGAAGAGTAATTGGGATCTTTATTCTGTTTCTATGCTGAGGAAGTGAAAAATCTGCCCTATAAGCCTGATACATCATATGTAAAGCCCTGACATTCAGGGACAAAGCAGACATGATAGAAAAGATTCATGATCTGGATTTCTATCATTTTTAAATGTGAATAATACCCACACCTAGTAGGGTTTTGAATTAGGGTCCATTGGGACTATTAATGACAGACTTCAGCTTTCCTCCACATCGTTGTTTTTAATAATTCTCTTACCAGCAGCAGCTGCAATTTCCCCAAAGAGTAAAATATATAGATTCTTATCTCCTATGAGAAAAATAAATTTAGGCTGTCACCTTGCCTCCTTACTTCATGATTGCTTGCTCATATTTAAAAATGCAGCACGTGTATGGCAACTTTTAGCGGCTCTTCCTATATTTAATCTTCTTCTTCTGTTAGTTCTCATAAAGGTGTGCTCAGTTACTGTGCCTGCCTGTAGAGAAAGTTCCAGACCAAAACATGGGGAGTCGTTGCCAGAGGAGATGAAATATCTCATTTCTTATTACTAGAGTGCTGACAGTGAATGAACAATGGTCCCCACCTCTGTTACAGTCCACTTTGTGAAGCAATCATTCCTCAGCTGATGTTCTCCAGAGGTGTAGACCATAATGGTTGGGGATCAAGGGACATCTGGAGTGGCTTTCCAGTTGGAGAAGGCTGGTCTAGGGCAAGAAAATAAGTCAACCACCCAAGGGTGCCATTGGGATAATATCTGATAAGTAGATTTTTACCAGACTCCACCATACACTCTCCAAAACTTTACACCACTTTCTTAAACCTTTATTTGATGTACTTCTATACAATTTGGGATGGAAATGGAGAGGAAACAAGATGAAAAAGAGGTAAAATTGAGTCCCATTCCATCATTTTCTATTATTACATAATATGATCAGTTGCAGGCCCCCTGGTGACACAATGGGTTAAACAGCTGAACTTGCTAACCAAAAAGTTGGCAGTTCAAATCCAGGGAGCTTTTGTCCAAATCCAGCTTTTGTCAATTAGCAGTTTGAAAGCATGCAAGTGTGAGTAGATCAATAGGTACCACCTCTGCAGGAAGGTAACTGCACTCCATGCAGTCATGCTGGCCACATGACCTTGGAGGTGTCTACGGACAACACCAACTCTTCAGCTTAGAAATGGAGATGAGCACCACTCTCCAGAGTCAGACATGACTAGACTTAATGTCAGGCGAAACTTTTACCTTTCTTTACCTATGATCAGTTGCTCTTTTTATATCTGTCAGAAGTGACTTGAGAAACTGCAAGTTGCTTCTGGTGTGAGACAGTTGGCTGTCTGCAAGGACGTTGCCCAGGGGACGCTGGATGTTTTACCATCCTGTGGGAGGCTTCTCTCATATCCCTGCATGGGAAGCTGGAGCTGACAGATGGGAGCTCACCCCACTCCCCGGATTCAAACCACTGACCTTTCAGTCAGCAGTCCTGCTGGCACAAGGGTTTAATCCATTGTGCCACCAGGGGCTCTTATCAGTTGCTAATAATTTGAGATTATTATAGAGATTATTATCTAGTTTTATTGGATCACAAGAGGGGAAAATCTGTTCAAATGAAGTATTGCTATAGGTGTAGCGACAAGGTTGCCAAAATGAGAGACTGCTTTCCCCAAATTCCAGCCCCCCATGACATTTTCCTCAAGTTTGCACATTTCTAGCATCGAAATTACTTAAAATTTCAGCTGAGCATTTAAAAGTACAGTGTTCGCATCCAGAGAAAAGGGGCAGGTAAAGATAACAATGGAATGCAAATGCAGCAACTAAAATTAATGCTAAGTGTGAATGATTTTCAATATCTCACTCCCTAGAGTGCTATAAATTTGATAACCGAAGAAAAAATCCATGTGGTTGGATAGAATTCTTAGTATGAGTTACAATGGCTTCTTTGCTCCCCTGTAGCAACACTCCTTAGGTTTTTTGATATAGAGAGACTTCACTAGTATCCCTTTATACTAAGTATACTCATAGAATCACAGAATCACTCATGATCATATGCTGCACATGTAACATTCAGCAGTTGTTTATTTTAAGAAATAATATATGTTAGCCAGGTCTCTCTAAGAGTGGATATTGGTGCCTGTTGGATATATCTGGATTATACCGTTATACTAGTTCAATAACAATTTTACTGTCAAGGTTCCTTACTACAGACTCTTGCAATTTGTAGTTTGTGGAGGCATTGAGAATTCCCTATGGACAGGCACTAAAGCATTTTAGGATAGCATCTCATTCATCCCAGGTTCTATAGTTGTATTGAACTGTTGTTACTGTATAAAACAGATGCACCACCTGTTCATTTTTAATAAGTAATAGCAAACCAAAGATTTGAGGAAAAGCAATTGAGAGGATATATGTAAAGGCTGTGGAAGTCCTGTGTGTTTTGTATGGCAAGCCTACAACAAAGAAGATCTTATAAAATTCTGATTTCTCCCAGTATTATATACATCATTATACCTTCAGTCTCAGTAATTGGAAACCTGTGCTCTGAGTGCCAATGATGATGTGCCCAAACAGAGGTAATGATAAACAGCAGGGAGGAAAAAACTATGGGGGCAAAACATATTTTAAGAAACAGCTTTATTAGGACTGAGCATATTCTTTGGCTACAAAATACTGAGTATCTGTTGGGTACATAAACTAGTCAGTATTAGGGATAAAGGGTTGATATCTTGATAAACAAAATAATAATAATAATCATCATCATCATCATCATCTTTGTATTGTCGAAGGCTTTCATGGCTGGAATCACTAGGTTCTTGTGGGGTTTTTTCGGGCTATAGAGCCATGTTCTAGAGGCATTTCTCCTGACGTTTCGCCTGCATCTATGGCAAGCATCCTCAGAGGTAGTGAGGTCTGTTGGAAACAGACCTCACTACCTCTGAGGATGCTTGCCATAGATGCAGGCGAAACGTCAGGAGAAATGCCTCTAGAACATGGCTCTATAGCCCGAAAAAATCATCATCTTTATTTCTAGACTGCCCTTTTCCCCCGGATGGACTCAGGGTGGTTTACAAATAAAAAGGCAAACACTGAGTGCCTTAAATGTGTACAAACACATCAGAATAGTAACAGCTGAAAACTTATAATGAAGGAATTAAGCATCAAAATAAAATAAAAATAGGAACAATCCACTAAGACTTAAAAAAACCCCTAAAATATAAGTAAACATTACAATAAACACCCTACAAGCAAATTAAGAGACATTACATTGAAAATGGCTGACACCAGTGTGTCGTAACACCCATATAATACAAATGGCTGACACCAATGTATTGTAACAGCCATATAATATAAGCGGGTTAACCAGCATTTAAAAGTGTTCTAGTCCTCCTCCTCTTCATATGCTAAAGTGCATAGATGTGTGTTTTAGAAGTTTCTTAAAGGAAAAGAGGATGTGGGGCCATTTTTATTTCTTTAGGGAGGGTCCAGGCTATTTGTCTAATCCAGGGGTCCTCAAACTTTTGAAACAGAAGGCCAGGTCACAGTCCCTCAAACTGTTGGAGGGCCGGATTATAATTTGGAAAAAAAACATGAATAAATTCCTTTACACACTACACTTATCTTATTTGTAGTGCAAAAACACTTTAAAACAATACAATAATTAAAATGAAGTACAGTTTTAACAAATATAAACTTATTAGTATTTCAATGGGAAGTGTGGGCCTGCTTTTAGCTGATGAGATAGGGTTGTTGTTGTGTGCTTTCAAGTCATTTCAGACTTAGGTTGACCCTGAGCGAGGGCCAGGTAAATGACCTAGAGGGTTGTATCCGGCCCCTGGGCCTTAGTTTGAGGACCCCTGGCCTAATCATATCTCCCTGTATAGACCATCATGTGCACTGTCGTCTGCAGAGAAGGCCCCCTTTGTCATTCTCACCAACTGAGCTTGTGACGGGTGGAACCGAGAGGAGGGCCTCCTCTGTAGACCACAGTGCACATGATGGTCTATACAGGGAGATATGATTAGACAAATAGCCTGGACTGAACCGTTTAGGGCTTTGTAGGTAACGACCAGCACTTTGTATTTAGCCTGGAAGTGGACCAGCAACCAGTGGAGCTGTCGCAGCATGGGAGTCCTCTCACGATGCAGCACTCCAGTTAGCAATCTAGCCATTAATCTTCACTAATTGCAGCTTCTGAATTATCTTCAAAGTTAGCTCCATGTAGAGAGCACTGCAGTAGTCCAAACGGGATGTGACTAAGGCGTGGACTACCATGGCCAAGTCTAGCATCTCAAAAGACTGGGGATTCCTTAGCAGCATCACTTCACACTGCCAAGCAGATACAATATAGCAGAATTTGTCTCCATATCTGCAGCTGCTCCAGCATTTTTTCAGACATAGACCCCAAACACCACTTAAGGTGGCTTTTTGTGTAATTTTCCCCCAATAGAGACTGGTCTGACTGGGAGGAGCATCCTGTTTGTGCAGTCTGCCTCTTCTGTGAGAAGCAGACAGACACCACAGAAAAGCTTTATGTTCACATGAAGGTAAGAAGGGTGCATGCTTTATATTCGATTGGAAAAAACCCTTAAAGATGTTGCTCTACTACAGCTCTGGCAAATATAATCAATAGCAAGGGATGTTGAGAGTTGTGGTCCAGCAAGGTCTGAAGGATGACATGTTTCTACTTGCTGGGTTAGATCTTGCTTTGGAAAATAAATGGGATATACACTGGGTTGTCTTAGTGATGGTATGACATTTGTTTGGGTTCCAAAAAAAGCCAACATTGGTGGTTAGTAGTGTTGTAAATGATCAAGGATCTGGATGCCTAATAAGCTTGACTCATCATGAACTTGTCTAGATGTTAAGGTCTTCAGGATAATGTCTCTGTCCATATTGGATGAGACTTTATCCAGTTGTTCCCAGACTGTGGTAAAATTATAATGACAATTTCAGATACAGGGGAAAGAGGATAACAAAATCAGGACAACTTGATATGATTTGTGTGTGTTTATATATAAATGTGCCCCTATTTGCTTATAATGTAACTATTTATACAGATTGAGTTTAATTCTATTTAAAACATTTAGAATCTCTCTCTCTCTCTCTCTCTCTCTCTCTCTCTCGCTAAAAAAAAAAATCTGAATTCCAGGAGGCTCATGGATTTGACCTGTTAAAAATTAAGTCCGAGCATGGTAAGTAAATGTTTCTCTGTAATGGAGACGTCCATTGTCACTGCAAATATGGCCTTTTAAAGGCAGAGAACCAGACTGATGTGACTCTGTTGTTGTTCATTCGTTCAGTCGTCTCCAACTCTTCGTGATCTCATGGACCAGCCCACGCCAGAGCTCCCTGTCGGCCGTCACCACCCCCAGCTCCTTCAAGGTCAGTCCAGTCACTTCAAGGATGCCATCCATCCATCTTGCCCTTGGTCGGCCCCTCTTCCTTTTGCCTTCCACTTTCCCCAGCATAATTGTCTTCTCTAGGCTTTGCTGTTTCCTCATGATGTGGCCAAAGTACTTCAACTTTGTCTCTAGTATCCTTCCCTCCAGTGAGCAGCCGGGCTTTATTTCCTGGAGGATGGACTGGTTGGATCTTCTCGCAGTCCAAGGCACTCTCAGAACTTTCCTCCAACACCACAGCTCAAAAGCATCTATCTTCCTTCGCTCAGCCTTCCCTAAGGTACAGCTCTCACATCCGTAGGTTACTACAGGGAATACCATGGCTTTGACTAGCGGATTTTTGTTGCCAGTCTGATGTCTCTACTCTTTATTATTTTATCGAGACTGGACATTGCTCTCCTCCCAAGAAGTAAGCGTCTTCTGATTTCCTGGCCACAGTCTGCATCTGCAGTAATCTTTGCGCCTAGAAATACAAAGTGACTCTAAGTAATACAAAATAAAATGCTGGCCTTGTTCTCTTTTGAATGTCAGTGTAGCAGCAATTGGTTGCAGTGGTTCTCAAAAAACCACTATACAATGGTTCTCAACCTGTAGGTCCCCAGATGTTTTGGCCTTCGCCTCCCAGAAATCCTAACAGCTGGTAAACGGGCTGGGATTTCTGGGAGTTGTAGGCCAAAAAACCTGGAGACCCACAGGTTGAGAACCACTGCTCTACAGTAAGATGTGAAAATCTAGTCTTCTTGCTAGAAATCTTGGATATAAATAGTCCTCATAATAATAATAATAATAATAATAATAATAATAACAACTTTATTTTTATACCCCACCTCTTGCTAAATAAAACCATGTCACTTTATTAAATGTACAGTCAGCCCTCTTATCCATGGGTTCTGCATCAACAGATTGAATTAACCACAGCTCACAAATATTCAAAGACATTCCCGAAAACAAACTTTGATTTTGCCATGGGTTGAGAATTGTGCCAATATATAGTAGACATGCCCTGCTGTAGTCTCCCATCATTTCACAGATCCTCAGGGTTTCCGCAATAGTCATTTGAGTTGTGTGTCATTGTATATAATGGGACTTGAACATCTACTTGGTATCTTGTGGAGTGTGGGAACCAAATCTCAGTGATATTCTCAGTGGATATTAAGATTACGTACCATTTTCACATTCACGGTTTTTAATTCTGTAGTCTTTCTTTTATTGAACTATCTTGTTTCAGCTGTGTCTCTTCCACTTTTTAAAAAATTTAATGCTTTGTTTAATTGCTTGATTTGGTTGCTAGGTTTGAATTTCTATCAGCAAGTGAAAGTGGTGAACTTCATTAGGAGAGAGATCCATCAGTGTCAATGTTACATTTGCCAGGAAAAATTCCCATCAAAAAAGGACTTGGTGCATCATATGGAAGAAACCAAACATATAACAGCACTGTCTGCCCGATCTATGTGGGACCAACCACAGTAAGACTGTTTTTCTTTGGTATTATGGTTAATGCATTATAGCATCTGTTAAGTCATAGCTGAATTTTGCATTCTTTACCATTGCTGTATAACTGAGGGCCTATTTTCTTTTCTGCCAACCAATTGGAAATTTTGCTTTTCTGAACCATACCTCCCAGAATCCACATCTACAAAATCAGCCAGTATGGAGAATTCTGAGAGAAGTAAACCCAAAAGCATTTCTCCAAGCCTTTTCATATAGATACATACCTTTGATTTAAAAGGATTGTTCTCCTTGGTTGAAATATGGACATTTCATGGTTGTGCTCATCAGGCAGGACATAGAACACAGCAAGTTATCTGCATGGTCAATAAGCAATTCGTTTTATGTCACAAAGCACATTTTAATTGTGTTTGTGGGTGTAAGGTGACCCAATGTCCACTGAAATCAGTTCTGTTGCATTTGCAGCAATATCCACAATGAAGTGAAGTGGAAACAGGTAACTGTTAATCACCCCAAACAGAATAAATCAAGTTCTGCCTTTCTTGAAAGGGCACTCTGCATTGTTATTAGGTATTATGAAAAAGCCTGTGAAATACAATTTGAATTACTAATGACAGATGTATAGGGAACAAACAGATTGTAAAGTTTGTGTTAGCCACTTACAAATAATTTCCATGCTACTGGAAAATGTGTGTCCATGCTGCAGCCACATTTTACAGTGATGTGGATACTTGTGGCTTGCAGATCAGATTCTGTCTGCTAGTGTTAGGGCTATCATTCAGTCCTCATTCCTCAAGAAATAGAAGCATAAGGATAGGATACATGTATGCCTCGAGATTTTAGTTGAGTGGGCTTCTCCCACCAACAAGGCATTAACCTGTTTAAAAGCAGCTTACAGCTGATATCCTATATTGCAAGGCACACAGCGGAGCCCCTTGTGGTGCAGTGGATTAAATCCTTGGGCCAGCAGGACTGCTGACCGACAGGTTGGCGGTTTGAATCCGGGGAGCGAGGTGAGCTCCTGTCTCAGCTCTTGCTTCTCATTAGGGGACACGAGAGAAGCCTCTCACAGGATAGTAAAACATCCGGGCATCCCCTGGGCAACGTCCTTGCAGACAGCCAATTCTTTCATTCTAGAAGTGACTTGCACTTTCTGAAGTCACTCCTGACACACAAAAAATAAAGGGCATACAGTAAATGTGCTCCAGATGCATCTCCCCTGAACTCCACACAGACTCACGGTTGAACTGCTACAGTCCTCAGCCATGAAAATTCAGTGGGCATCATAAATGGATGGATGGATAGGTGGGTGGGTGGGTGGGTGGGTGGGTAGGTGGGTGGGTGGGTGGGTGGATGGATAGATAGATAGATAGATAGATAGATAGATAGATAGATAGATAGATAGATGATACTGTCAAAGTACTTTATCCTCATAACAACATTCATATTGATCGTATCTTCCATTGAGATTTGCCAGGGCTCCACAAAGGTCTTGGTAGATGATGTAATCATTCTGCATCACATTTAGAGACATAGCAAGACGACTGGAAATCTCTCTACCAGACACAAATAGCTATGGAAAGAAGTCCAGTGATGGCTTTGATCATTATGAAGCAAAGAAGAAAATGCTCAAACATACTTAGACTCCCCTTTCCTAGCAAGCATCACAGTTCATACTCTTGGATCCTATCATTGTGCTTGCTTTCTATCACCTCAAGATCCCTCCTGGTTGAGTACTTGGACCTGAAGGCGATCCCAGTGTGGACCAGTGGATGTGTAGTTCTGTAGGTTTGTGTTATAAGCGTGACCAGGCTATCAGAACTCAATTGAAACAGCCAGATACAGTTGTAAGGGTTCCAGCGATGTAACATCGTGTCATGAGCAAAGCTTGAAAATATTACTTTTGAGGATTGCAGTTCTCCTAAATTTGCTAGCTGGAGTAGTCTGGGAATTGCAATCTAAAAATGTAACAAGTCCAAGTTGTGGGGAAGCAGTGAAATTTCTGTGTTTGTTATGTACAGAAAGAAAGCCTTTGACTGACCAGGGATTATATTTCTCTTCCTCTGTTTTAGGTATTATTTTCCTACCTATGAAAACGATACCCTTCTCTGTACACTTTTGGACAGTGAGGATGAACTGCCATCTGGGAAGCCAAAAGAGGATATACCTGTCATTAGTGAGGACATTTCGATTATAGAGGCTTTGAAACAGAGCAGTGTGTTAAATCAGCTTCTTCGTGAGGTGATGAATAATGAAGGACCTGGAAATTGAGCGTATTTTCTCTTTTTGATATGGAAACAATTACCTTACAGCAGTGGAAGACTGATTTGGTAATTTACCAGTGTAATCTGAGTCAGTGACTATAATAAATCAAATTCATTGAGAAGGGGACTCAAATAACAATCAGTATTTTGAGAGGGGGCGATCTTCCTTTTTTGTTTGTTTATTCTATTAAAAGAGTTCTATTCATGCTTACTAAGAGAGCAGTCATATGAGGTGGGGAAATCCTCCTAGGACCTCCTAGGGTGGAAAATACGGGAGCATTATTCTTTTCTCTTTTCTCAATCACTACACTAGTTCCAGATCTGGACAAAATCTCCCTTTTTGGAATTAAAAGAGGGCTTTGAATTCTACAGCTATAAAGTTGTAGAATCCCAGTATACTATCCCAGTATACTATCCCAGTATACTACAGAATCCCAGTATTCTATAGCAGTGGTTCTCAACCTTCCTAATGCCATGACCCATTAATACAGTTCCTCATGTTGTGGTGACCCTCAACCATAAAATCATTTTTGTTGCTACTTCATAACTGTGTTTTTGCTACTGTTATGAATCATAATGTAAATATCTGATGTGCAGAATGTATTATCATTCACTGGGCCAAATTTGGCACAAATACCAGATACACCCAAATTTGAATACTGGTGGGGTTGGGGGGGGGGGGGGGGGGGGGGGGAGTTGATTTTGTAATTTGGGAGTTGTACTTAATGTAATTTATAGTTAACATACAATCAAAGAGCATTCTGAACTCCACCAAAGATGGAATTGAACCAAATTTGCACAGAGAACTCCCATAACCAGCAGAAAATACTGGAACGATATGGTGGGCATTGATCTTGAGTTTTGGAGTTTTAGTTCGCCTACATCCAAAGAGCACTATGGACTCAAACAATGATGGATCTGGACCAAACTTGGCACAAATACTCAATATGCCCAAATATGAACACTGGTAGAGTTTGGGGAAAATATACCTTGACATTTGGGAGTTGCAGTTGCTGGGATTTATAGTTCACCTACAATCAAAGAGCATTCTTCCCATACAGAACCCCCATGACCAACAGAAAATACTATGTGTTCTGATGGTCTTAAGTGACCCCTCTGACACCCCCCGACCCCCCAGGGGTCCCAACCTCCAGGTTGAAAAATGCTGTACTACAGGAATGTCTCTGTTGTACTTGTACTTACTCCTCATGAAACATACATGGCACAGAGTAGTTCCATGTCTTCCTATAGCCCATCAGATTCTACATGGCCCAAACTTCATTTGTTTAATCTTAAACCAGGGAGAATAAAAGTAGTATGGCAGCAATAGTGCTAAATAGATTCATAATTTGTTTAGTTACTAATAGAACCAGAGTAAGCATGGTGTAGCAGTTTGAGTGTTAGACTATTATTATGGAGACCTCATGTTCAAATTGTTGCCCAGCCATGGAAAACCACACAAAACTAGAACAAGTCCTGTTTTCTCAGCTGCAGAGGGAGGCAACCCCACTCTTAACAAATCTTACTAAGATCCCATAATAGGTTTGCCTTTGGGTTGACATGACTCAGAAATGACCTGAAGGTACACAACCACCATTATTGGAAACAATTGCAGAGGTTGGCATTATAGCCTGCCTACCTCATCCCTGTCTGTACCATTGCTTGGAATCAGTTTAAGAGGATGGGCCTTCAGTTTCCATTCAGATCAAATCTCTTGTTTAAAGTCAATGTAATATTTATGAGGAAAAAACAGTGAATTATTCATGTGGAGACTAAACTCAACATTGAATGCTCCTGTAGGCCAGCTAATAACTTGTTAGCACAGTGTTTGTGATGTGAACTGCTGCTTTGTGCTTCCTTCCCTTCCTTGGATGCAGAAATCATGCTGGCAAGGACTATGATGGGATAAACCAATTCCAATATGAATTAGGGGAATAAGGTTTTTCTTAGCATAAGTGCATAAGTGACACCTTGATCTGGGACAGTGAAATGTAGAAGGAGGGAGAAGAACGTTTAGGGTTCACAGGATGGGAGGTCATTAAAAAAGGATAGGTGAAAAAGCTGAAACATTAGAACAAAAGGACTTAGATGCCCTAAATGTCCCAGAACCCTTCTCCTCTTGGAAGCTAAGGAGGGTCAGCTCTGGTTAATATTTGGGTGGAACACAGTGATTTTGTTGTTTATTCGTTCCGTCGCTTCCGACTCTTCATGACCTCATGGACAAGCCCACGCCAGAGCTCCCTGTCAGCTGTCACCACCCCCAGCTCCTTCAGAGTCAAGCCAGTCACTTCAAGGATACCATCTATCCATCTTGCCCTTGGCCCCTCGTCCTTTTTCCTTCCATTTTCCCAAGCATAATTGTCTTCTCTAAGCTTTCTTGTCTTCTCATGATGTGGCCAAACTACTTCTTTGCCTCTAATATTTTTCCCTCCAATGAGCAGTTGGGCTTTATTTTCTGAAGTATGGACTGGTTGGATCTTCTTGCAGTCCAAGGCACTCTCAGAATTTTCCTCCAGAACTACAGTTCAAAAGCGTCTATGTTCCTTCTTTGCTTTTTAATGTCTGAGGTTGGTTTCAGGAAAATCATTTTTTTGTGTGATTGGAATTTGGGACCAGTATAGCATCAAACTCAAATGTAAGGGATGATGGATTTTACTTCAGTGAATAATTTCCAACACATTCACATGTTCAGGGTTGAAGGAAAAGTAATGCCTCCATCTTCGTTAACTCCTCAACAGATGGCAGTACTGGTATGCAGCAGGTACTGGCTTGTTCAATAGACTCTCCTCTGCAGCTCTATTTTGGCGGGAAGCCTTAGCATTGAATGGTTGTGTTGTTAAAGTGCAAAGTATGGAACCCTGTGCAGACAGTCGGTCAATGCGACTTAAGCAATGTGCAGTCATTGAATTCTCAGCTGGAAAAATCATGGCAACAGTTTTCTGGGATGCAGATGGTGTTATCCATGTTGATTTCCTTGAACGTAGAACAATAAATTCAGAGCGTTACATCACAATACTGCGAACTTTGAAACAACGGCTAACAAGGGTCTGAAAGGAAAAGGGAAATGTTTTCCTGCAGCATGACCACACACTTCACATGCCACCACAGCAAAACTTCAGAGACTGGATCTCACCATCGTACGGCATCCTCCATACAGTCCAGATTTAGCACTGTCTGACTTCCATCTGTTCCCGATAATGAAAGAAGATCTGCAGGGACATCATTATGCTTCTGATGAAGACATTGAGAGAACTGTGAGACGCTGGTTGCGGAAACAGAGCGTTGACTTCTTCCGTGATGGCTTCAGAAAACTTGTTCATTGTTGGCAGAAATCTATCCAATTGTCTGGTGATTATGTAGAAAAGCGAATAGTGGTAGTTAAAGAGCACATTCTAAGGATTATTTCTGCATTTGATTTATTAAAATATTCCCATCCAAACCCAAGAAACGAAGGTGGAGACCTTACTTTTCATTCAACTCTCATACAATCTCATTTTAAGGACAATCTAGGCAGTCCTTGCACAGCTGATAAATCCTGTTTTGGGGCACAGAAACAAAAAAAGTCAAGCAGTCCAATGGCATGGCAGAGGAAAGAAAGTCTCAAATGAAATGTTGTGAGTTATTAATGTAACATGACTCAGTTTTGTAAATTGTGGAGTTAATAAAAGGTAGGGATCATACAGCCTTCCAGATTTTGTTTAAATACCATCCTTAGATTTTGTTTAAATACCATTCATGATACAAAATCATGTATCATCTATATTTACTAAGCTATTTGAAATATGGGAAGTAATTCTCAATGTTATGGGTCTGATTAGGCATGATTGCATATGCTGGAAAAGTATTATTCTGTGTTTATAACTTGTTCAATCCACATATAGCTTCAACCTTGCAATCAACTCTATTGACAACTATTTAAAAAAAAACCCACTAATGGGTTCTCAAAACTATTTCAGCCTGATATAACTTCAACCAACATTAATTCAGTTTCAGGAGGCAAAATATTTGAAAGCACTGAAAGCACAAATTACTCTGGATGTGTACACGAAGGGAATATGGGACTTTGTAATATCGGGCTTTCAAATGAAATTCATTTCAGAGAGATAAGTGATAAATTTTAAGTTCAAATACATAGCAGGAAATGAAAATGCCACAAAGCTAAAGGCGTGAACTCAAACATGGAGATTAAGATGATATGAATAGAATGGTGTGAAACCAGATCTGGATATTAGTCATCCCTAATTATAATTGAAGATGACCACAAAATGGAGCAAATTCTGACACAAGGAAAAAGAAAAAGAGGGAGATACATCAATAAGAGCAAAAAGGCATAGTAGTCCTTGGCATTCTTAGTTTCCACATGGCCTCAGGGGAAGGCAGACAAAGTTGTCTGCTGTTATCATTAGCCAGCTCCTAGCTGGCTATAAGAGACTATAAAATTATTGTTGTTGCTGCGAGTGGTATTATTATTATTATTATTATTATTATTATTATTATTATTATTATTTTCTCTAATGTCTGTTTTTGAGAGAAGGATCCTCAAATGTAGGGCAGTCTGACAAGGCTGCCTGGACAAACTGCTTGCTAACAGATTTGTGTAAATGTCTAAAACAGACACTAGGTGGCATTCAGTAATCTTTTAATGTTGCCAATTTTTTATGACACCAATATTGAGCTAAAGAGACCCCATTTGGGATTGGGACTCACAATGTAAGAAGCAGTAGCCTACAACACCCGGTATTCATTAGCAGTCTTCCATTCATGTACTAACCAGAACTTACCCTACTTAATAACAACAACAACAATTATTATTATTATTATTATTATTATTATTATTACTATTATTATTACAATATTTGGAACACAATATGCCAGACATCACGCTTGTGGAAAAGAAAAAAGTTTGGATTATTGATGTCGCCATACCAGGTGACAGTCACATTGAGGAAAAACAACAGGAAAAACTCAGCCGTTATCAGGACCTTGAAATCGAACTGCAAAGGCTCTGGCATAAACCAGTACGGGTGGTCCCAGTGGTCATCGGCACACTGGGTGCCATGCCAAAAGATCTTAGCTAGCATTTGGAAACAGCAAAAGGCGACCTTACTTGGATCTGCGCACG